CGCATGTGCGTGGACTACACGGATCTCAACAAAGCGTGTCCCTTGGACCCCTTTCCTTTGCCAAATATTGATCAACTTGTGGATGAAACTGCGGGGTGTGAAATCATGTCATTCCTCGACGCATTCCGCGGATATCATCAAATATTTATGCATGAGGAAGACGCAGAAAAAACAGCCTTCATGACTCCCGAGGGCATCTTCTGTTACCTTGTCATGGCCTTCGGCCTAAAGAACTCAGGCGCCACCTACACTCGGATGGTGGCCAGGGTATTCCAAGCTGTCCTAGGGCGCACCATGGAGGCATATGTTGAAGACATGATCGTAAAAAGCAAGCAATCAGCTAGCCATGCTGACGACCTGAGAGAGATCTTCGCCATCATGCAGAAATTCAACCATCGGCTAAACCCGAAGAAGTGTACCTTCGGCGTTCAAGGGGGCAAATTCTTGGGCTACATGGTGAGCCGAAGGGGTATCGAGGCCAACCCCTAGAAGATCCAGGCCATCATCAACATGGAGCCCCCACGCAACGTAAAGGAGGTCCAACGATTGACGGGCCGCCTGGAAGCCCTCAATCGCTTCTTATCAAAATCGGCGGAGAAGTCCTTACCCTTCTTCCAGATCATGAGAAAAACCGCCGGTTTCCAGTGGACTTCATAGTGTCAGGGGGCCTTCGAGGAACTGAAACGGTACTTATCTTCACCCCCTGTGCTCTCTAAACCCAAGGTGGGGGAGATCCTATACCTTTACTTGGGTGTTAGCTCGGCAGCCATCAGCTCAGTACTCATCCGGGAAGAGGATGGCATCCAACATGCCATCTTCTATGTTAGCAAGACCCTCAGGGAAGCGGAGCTCCGGTACTCCCCTGTGGAAAAAACGGTATTGGCTATCGTGTGGACCGTCAAGAAGTTGGGCCATTACTTCCAGGCTCACCCGGTCCAGGTCCTTACTCACCAACCCCTCGGCACTTTGATGAGGAGCCCCACCAGCTCCTCCCGAATGGTAAAATGGGCTGTCTTCCTGAGCCAATACAACATCGACATCCGTCCTAGGCCCGCCATCAAGGGCCAAGCCCTAGCGGACTTCGTGACGGAATGTACGGCAAGGTCAGCCACAGATGAGGAGCCCTCGGCTCCTTCGGATGATTGGTGGACCCTCTACACCGACGGCTCCTCCGCCGTCATGGCATGTGGAGGAGGGGTGGTTCTCATCTCACCCGAAGGCTTCCGGGCCTATTATGCAATCCGCTTCTCCTTCAAAGTCTCTAACATAGAAGCCGAATACGAGGCCCTCCTCTGTGGCCTTCGGCTGGCAGCTAACATGAAGACCGACAGATCCACGTCAAATGCGACTCCAAATTAGTTGTCGGCCAAATTTCCGGGGAGTATGAAGCCAAGGAAGGGAGAATGAAGCAATACAAGGAGGCGGCCAAGGAGTTGCTTAAGGTATTTGAGGCACACTCTCTTACTCAAATACTGAGGGATCAGAACTCCGAGGCCGACATTTTATCTAAGCTCTCGGCCGAATCCCCTGAGCACATCTCAAAGATTGCCAAAGTAGAAGAGCTCAGCCTCTCTAGTATACATGCTAGCCCCGTCATGAACATATAACAAAGGCAGGACGACTGGATCTCAGACATTGTCGCCTTCATCACCACAGGGCAACTGCCTGAGAATGAGGCCCGTGCCAAGCTAGAAAAGCTGAGGGCTCCCAGCTACGCTATCGAAGACGGAAGGCTTTACAAAAGGTCCTACAACGGGACATTACTTCGGTGCCTTCATCAAGATGAAGCCGAAGTGGCGATGGAGGAAGTGCACAGTGGCACTTGTTCAGCTCACCAGGGACCCTTCTCCATGTCCCGAAGGCTAATAATCCAGGGCTACTTCTGGCCCACAATGGCCCGGGATTGTGCAGATCTCGCCCGAAGGTGTTCCGCATGCCAACACTTCCAGAAAGCCCCCGACAGGCCAGCGGTCAACTATGCCCCCATCAACACATCCATACCCTTCGCTCGATTGGGCATAGACCTTGTGGGCCCTCTGCCGAGGGGTACCTCCAACAACAGGTACATCATTGTCGCCATCGATTACTTCACCAAATGGGTGGAAGCTGAGCCCCTCGCCAACATTACTGAGGCCAGATGCCGTCATTTTGTTCTCAAAAACATCCTCACAAGGTTCGGCGTCCCCCAGCAAATCATCTCTGACAACGGGACCCAGTTCGAGGCAGGCCCCTTCTGTGCCCTCCTGGAGGCATGGGGCATCAAACACACCTTCTCATCCGTCGCCTACCCTCAGGGCAACGGTCAGGTAGAGAACGCCAACAGGACTTTGCTTGAAGGCCTAAAGAAGAAACTGGAGGCCGAAGGGGGCGGTTGGGTAGAAGAGCTCCACAACATCTTATGGGCCTACCGTACCACCCCTCGGCGGGCAACTGGCGAGACACCCTTCTCCCTTTGCTACGGATTTGAAGCTAAGGCCCCCACTGAGGTAACTCTTCCAACCCGAAGGGTAACACAGTACGATCCAGAGGCCAACGACACCAATATGGCCCTCGACCTCCACCTTATTTCAGAACGCCGAGAGCAAGCCTTCATGCGCGCAGAAAACTACCTAAGGCAAGTAAAGAGTTACGTTGACGCCAAAGTCCGCTCCCGGGAATTCCAAGTGGGGGACTACGTCCTCCGAAGAAGGGAAGCTAGCCAACCAACCGAGGGCGGAAAGATGGCACCAGAGTTTGAAGGCCCCTACATCGTGGCGGCCATCATCAAACCAGGAACTTACAAACTGAAACGCCCTAATGGGACTGAAGTCCCTAGACACTGGAATGTACACCACTTGGTTAAATTTTATCAATAACATCAGAGCGGCCAAGCCCTCATAACTAGTGAATGTATTATTTTACGGCCCAAGGCCTAAAAATTCTGAAGAATGAAGGCATTTTGAAGATACCAAGAACATGGAACAAGGTTCTTACGAGTGGCCAAGCCCTCATATCACCCCTGGCCCAAGGCCTTATCATGAGCAAGAACCCTCGACATCAAGTGCTGAGGGTGGATAATACTATCACCTACAACGAGGAAGAGAGTACCAACTTTCTTCAAAGGAGACCCCTCGATACCAAGTACCGGGGGGAATACACCACTGTCAACTTTCAACAAACGGAACAAAACACCAAGTATTTTCACAGAAGACCCCTCGGTACCAAGTACCGAGGGTAGACAACACAATCACCTGCGACAAATGAAGAAAAAACACCAAGTGTTTTTGCAGAAGACCCTTCGGTACCAAGTACCGGGGGCCGTACACCGGAACAAACACCAAGTGTTGTTTCTAAAGTCGTACCCCTCGAGGACGCCTATACCGAAGGCGCCACCTCTCGGTGCCGGCAGCACGTAGTGCCCCCGGCCATTTGCAACCAGTGTGCAAATGAAAACTCTTCCCTGAAACGCTTTCCGCGTCATTACCCCAAGGGTATGACAGGCACGAAATATGCCCAGAATTCGACATTCAAAAACGGAACGCTTTCCGCGCCATTTCCCCAAGGGATTGGCAGGCATCTAAAATGCCCAGGATTCGACTTCCAAATCGAAACGCTCCCCGCACCACTACCCCAAGGGTGTGGCAGGCCACAAACTATGTCTAGCACCGAGGGGACGACTTTCAAAACTGATGCGCTTTCCGTACCATCCCCTAAGGGGAGGCAGACTACAGATCACCATATCTTGTACCCAGGAAACGACCCTCGATCCCCTCGGAACTCGGAAGGTTAACCCGAGTGGGGGAGCTAATGGTGTATTCTGTTACCTCCCGATAGGCCAAGCCTTACCAAGAAACCAAGTTTCTTGAAGCCTTCCCTTCACTAGCAAAAAAAAATGGGGTGGTGAAGGGGAGTAGACTCAGCGAGAAATCAGTGAGTACACCACTCCAACAAATTCACGAGGACATACCGAGGGCTCCCCATGGGAACGCCTTCGGTACCTTGAAGCTCATAAGTACCAAGGATACCATTCACAACAGACATCATCAACAAATGGCCAAGTCCACTCCATGATTGCCTCCGGCTATATCTAAACCGAAGGCTCAAATCCTACAAAACATGACAGGCTCAGCCAACAACAACTCAAAACGTCCCCGAAGGCTACTATATAACAAAGCTATCAGATGTTGGCCAAATCAAAGCAAGAATCACCTCCGGCACCTCACTACATGCCGAGGGGATACACCCAGACAATTCCTAAGGGAGTCTGCCTTTTTATGCTAGACTTGGATTACAAACTCTCCTATATCAACATTTGGGGGACATAATAAACAGCCGAAGGCTTTTGTTACCGCAGGCCAACCTTGCAAGACAAAATAAACGGTTCTAGGCCCATAAAGTATACAGCCGAAGGGTCCCCTCCCGTTGGCCAGCAGCAGGAAATACTTAGAGAAAATAATCCAAGTCCTAAATACTTTGCCCCCTGTGTAGCCACCAGCCAACCGAAGGCACATCTGAGACAAGGTCCTCACATTCACCCGAAGGCTCCTCCCTCATACACTCTACACTTAGAAAATTTTCTAAGTTCTACATATTTTGACCCCCGGTCAAATCTCCATGCAGCCAGAGGAGCCATACGGTTGAAGACTTGGTGAAGCTACACTTAGGAAATATTACTAAGTCCTAAATATTTTGATCTCTCGATTATATACCCACGCAGCGAAGGGTACCCACGTACCAAAGGCTAAACAGTATCCAACACTTAGAAAAATTTTCTAAGTCCCAAACACCTTGCCTCCGGTTATCTCACGAAGACTACACAGAACCAGAGGGAAGGAATTAGCCGGGGGCCAACAGATGAACAACACTTAGAAAAGATTTCTAAGTCCTGAACATTGGGCCCTCGGTGAAATGTTCAGATAACCAAAGGGGCCTAGTAGCCGAGGGCTACAGGGGATACTGTACTTAGAGAGATATTTTCTAAGTCCTAACATGCATCCATACACAGAGAAAAGACGAAGGCATACATACAGAAACGGCGAAGGCATACATTCAGAAAAGACGAGGGCATACATTCAAAGAAAAACAATCAAAAGGAACGGGTCATATACAAAAAGCCCGAAGGCAAGTATTCATTCATCGAAGAAAGGAAAAATTCAAGTGTATATTACAAAAGGGCCGAAGCGAAGAGTACAGCAGTATGATTACAAAGTGGTGGGGAATACAATTTACAAGAGGGGACCTACAATGTCGCCCCCTTCGATAGCCTTGGAGGTAGCCTCGCCTTCGGCCTCATCCCCGTCACCCCCAAGGCCACACTCCCTCAGAGTCTCCGAATCTTCAAGCACTGGTCTCTCTTCGCCTTCGGGGAGCGGGATCCTGACGTCTGGCTGCCGAGGGGGAAGGCCATAAGCCTCAGTCTGGAACTCCTCCGGTGAAAGCTTGAAATGTCAGACGAGCTTTCGGTATATGAGGCGCTGGGTAAAAAACTCCCCGCCTTGATAGTAGGAGTCGCCCTTCTCAGCAAGCCACATCTTGTCGGGGCCTCCAACCCAGTCATCCACCGAAGCCCCCACCACCGAGGAGAGCCACTCTTTCTGTTCTTCGGCTTTCCATCCCTCGGCAGTAAAGCCGGCTATAGCATCCTCCCGGGCCCTGGAGACGGCCTCTTCCTTAGCCACGCGGGCTTCCTCAGCAGCAATGCGGGCGGCCTCGGCAGCAGCCTCCCCGGCCTTAGTCAGGCCTTCGTTCATCCCCTCGTCCCTCGCGGCTTGCACCCGCTGCTCCATGCTATCGGTGGCCAAGCGAAGAGAATCCTCGGCCTCAGCGAGCTTCTTCCTAAGGAGGGCAGCCTCCCCTTCGGCTGCACCCTTCGCCTCCTTCATCTGCTCCACCCTTCGAAGGTGCTCGCAAAGGCCCATGAAGCTCTACAATCCACAAAAGCGATGGTTAGACAGGATAAACATAGTACGCAAGAGAAAAAAACAAACACAAAGGAAAAAGATAGGCGTGACTCACGGAGGCAGTGTTCAGGAGAATCTTGGCCTTGAGGGAGCTCTCGTCCAGTCTAGCGAGGGCCAAGCGATCAGCTGAGGGTAGCATCTGGCTCATCAGCGCCGACGGGTTTAGGCTACCCTCGAGTACGGAAGCCCCCTTCGGCACTATCGCCTTCAGTTTCTCCCGGCCGAAGAACTCCTGGTTGATGTGCTCCTGAGAGGTGGGGGCAGAGGCGTGCCCCTCGTCCACAATGACAACCACGTCAGTGGTCGGCTGCTTGGCGGGGGCGGTGGCTTTTAACTTCTTGGCCGGGGGCTCGGTCCCCTTGCCGTTATTCTTTTTCTTCACGGGCCCAGCACCTTTGGACCCCCCGGCGCCAGCACCGGCAGTAGCGGCTTGGGAGGACTCCTCCCTGGCAGAAGTGCCCACCGGGCCCTTCTTCTTCCCCTTGGCATTCTTCAAGGCAAAAAGAGAGCTGACGTCCGTATTACTACCTGCAAAAACAAGACACAAAATGGTTAAACCGAAGGGTGTCAGTTACAATAGCATAGAGTAAAAAAAACATGAAGGAAAACTATCAAGGTACAAATAACCCTTCGATAATCACCTCCGGCTCCTTCGAAGACACGATCGAGCGGAGGGTATCTTTCATCCGATGAGCCCCTCGGCCTAAACTGCCGGAAGCCAAGACTAAACAATTCCTCGGGAAGAGTGACGTCCTTAATTTTGACGTGTTTATCAGACCCCTCCGGTTTCTTGGCAAGTATTATGCCATTCTTCTCTAGGGCCGCGCTCCCTACCTTCGGGTGGCGCCGGAAGCTGTTGCGGAGCATAGTCGGGAAGGGGTTCTCCTCCAAACGTACGTAACAAAACCGCTCCTTCCACCCCTTGTGGGACGAAGGCACATCGTCGAAGAGCCTAAACTCCGGTACCTGCTGAAGGTTGGGCCGAGAGGAGCTGGATTCCCCGGCACCGCGTGGGGAAAGGATATCAACCGTCACCTTCATCCTCTCCTTCTCCTCTTCCTCTTCAGCAGTTTGCACGGCAAGGGCGAGCTCTTCGTCCTCATTCACCTGCTCGAAGTCTTCGGCTTCGACCTCGGCCCTGAGGTCCTTCTCCACCTCCATGGCAACAGCAGCGTCATCACCCGCCGAAGACTCCTCACTCGAAGGCTCGACGTCGGAGTAGGTTTCCGTCTCAACCGAGGGATCCCTCGATATGTCTTGGGAATCACTAGCGGACGACATTTTTTATAGGCTAATGAATTCGGAAGTTCTAAAAGTCCGGAGGCACCCTAAGAAACTCTAGACACTTAAGTCTAAAGCCACAGGAGCAAAACTCACCAAGTAAGCGGAGAACAGAAGAGGGACTGACCTTGAAAGCTGGGGATTCAACCGAAGGCCTGGAGTTTCTCTCTCTAGAAATTTTGGCAGAGCTTCGCTAACAATATGATCGCACAGGGGAAATGATGCCCGGCCATGGGGTATTTATAGGCGCCCAGATCCGGGCTTGGGCCCAAAAACCGGGCCTCCGGTCACAAGATCATCAATACGAGCCGTGGTTTCGCCCAATCGGTAACGCTGCCCGCGGGCAGCCAACCGCCGCGTGCCACGTGTGCCCCCCCCCCCCTCCCCCAACGGCTATATTTTGACGTTAGGTATTCCAACGGCTATATTTACAACGGCTATATTCTGGAAGCCCCCGGCTGTATTTAGCAGACCACTCCTTCATCAACCAGGAAACTAGCCCCCGGGCTTTTTACTTCACTCCATGTCATCAAGAGGAGCCCCCAGGTGCACTTACCCAGAGATGCTCCCGGTTTATGCCCCTCATACTACATAACAAATGCCTTCGGGCTCACTCCTTCAGAGGCCCACGGCTTCATAACAGGCACACCCCTCGGGGATCCCCCCCTCAGCACTTTGAGGAGCAGGCAGCCCCCGGGGAGTACACCTCATTGACGGATAGCCTACGGCACACAGGTAACAGGAGCCCTCGGATATCCACCTCACCAACTGATCAACAAACAAGGGACCGGATACATTTCTTACGGCAATGTTATGAGAGAGAATATTCGGTATATGTTGGGCCGGTGCTTTTTCGTGTAATTTGATGTTGGGCCGGATACATTTCTTACGCTTGGGCTGGTTTATAATGCGCATGAAGAAGGCCACCTAAGTTCAAATGGGATAAAGATGCCTAGAACGGTTATTTAGCCAGGTCAAGCATAAGATAAGAAGGGCCAGCTACACGTGGAGGAAAAAGGGGGAACAGGTGCGATACTTGAGGAAGGAGTAGCGTTTTATTTAAAAAAGGGGATACCGCTGAACAGCCTGAACATGTAGCACATGATCACTTGATCAATTCCATTAAGCAATTCAACTACACTCTTGTAATTAGATTATCATCTTCGAACTATTATTAAATTTCTTTCACACTTTTACTTCTCAAATTACCCCATTGTTGATCCATATTTGTTCGATCCCCGTTATAATTTTAGATTAGTTTATTCTTGCATAAACAATTTAGCGCCGTCTGTGGGAAATTCGCACAAAAGAGGATCGATTATGGCCGGAAGCACGAATCCATTGCTGACAGAATTCCATGAGCAACTTGAAACCATTAGAGAAGAAATCCGGTGAGAGATGGCCCAACGGATTGGTTTCCTACAGTGAGAAAACAATGTATTGCGCTCTCAAGTGCAAACGGTGGCATCCATAGCTTCCAACTCGAAGTTCAATAGAAGAAGTGACGCCATGTTGACAGCTACAAGGTTGTATTTGGACCCCATCCCGATCTCGACTGAACCCATTAACGACATGGCGACGAATCCTTTATCTCTCACGTTGGGGTTATCACCCACCGGAAATCATCAATCGGAGCTGTCACCTACCGGCAACCCTCACGCCGCCATCATCTCGCAAGTCATTCCGTATACTCCGCTTGTGCCAGAAACAACTCCGCCCCCAAACATCCCGACCTGCTATTTTCCAGAATCACTTCGGACCAGGCCATCATCGTCGGGCTTGCAATCTCTCACGCAAAGGATGCCCACGTCAAATGTTGGTTCGATCCCGACCGAACCCTTCATCCCTTATGCGGCCGCCGGTATACCCGGAGAGCCGGGATCGTCCATGCGCCCTGGTTCTCGTTCCAACCCCAGACAAGGCGCGACCCACAACTCTATAGGAGAGCCTCACAGAAGAAGAGCCCCGACTCATGTTGACATTCCCAGACATGTCGACTTCGCCAAAAATGTCGACTTCAGTAGCCAGAGTCGATAGGGTCCAGAGTTCATTGACATATCATCCCCCACTAGAGAAGAGGTAGTTCGGGCAGCGGCCTCACCCATCCAGGCAGAACCTCGGGCACGAACACATTCATCAGATCCCTTAGCAATTATCATGGGAGAATTAAGGGAGATGCGGGAAAAAATCATCAGCATACCAGGGGTGCCGCCACCGTTAAACGTTACCTCGCAGACTTGCTATGCTGACTCCCCATTCGGAAGGCATATTACAGACATGGAGATTCTGAGGAAGTTTGCGGCCCCCTCAATGAAGCTATTCGACGGTACCACTAACCCAGTAGAACATGTTGCCCAATCTAAGCAGTGGATGCTTTCCGTTTCCGTCAGTCCAGATCAGCGGGAAGCTTGCATGTGTAGCGGGATCCATTCATTTGCAGAACTCGTCAACATCTTCAATCGGCAATTCGCAAGTAGTCGGGTTCTGGAAAAGCAAACAAGCGATCTGTATCAAGTGGTCCAGAAGCGGAACGAGACCTTAAGAGATTACCTCCATAGATTCAATAGAGAAAAGGTGTCGATTCCAAGATGCGACATGTCGACAGCTGTAGAGGCGTTCAGAAGAGGATTGCTTGAAGATTCAGAACCTTACTGAGAATTGACCAAATATCCCTGCAGGACTTTCGAGGATGTTCAAGCCAAAACCCTGGCGTTCATCCGGCTTGAGGAAGACCAACAGTCTCGCCAATGGCCCGAGGGTTATGAAGGAGGACACAGGACAGCAAGTTCGTCCAAAAGGCATGAGTACCGAACGGGGAAGCCATACACAAAAAGCGAGGATCGACAAGTGTAACACCCCTAAATTTCCCACCCAAAAATACCTTTAAAAATAACTTTATTTATTGACTTTATTTGAAAACGTCAGAATTGTGCAACGGAAAAGCAAAAGGGAAATAGGGGCGTTACCGCCACACTCAGTTCTAATCTAACCGAGTGCACAGGCTAAAACAATTTAAACTCAAAATAGATTAAACTTCTAAAATAAATGTTCACTAATTTAAGATGCTGAAAATGTAATTACAATTATTTACTAATTTTGTTTTCTAGCGGAAGCTCTCTCGAAATCAACTTCAACGGGATCAACTCAACACCTGTACAAAATCAAGTACAGAAAATAAAAATAAAAGAAACAAACATTAGCAACAATGCTAAGTAAGTTCCACCTAACCCCAAAAAAGAAATAAATAATATATGTATATTTGTAAAACATTTCGTAAAATATATTTTTATAAATCATAAGTAAAACAACATTTATAAAATATTCTTATAACACAAATAATATGCAAAATATCAATATTTCAAATATAAGTACATATTTCAAAACCATAATAATTCCAAAATATCAATATACATAAACCACCATATATGATCACAATTATTCCAAACCATAAATCAAACATCAAATATTCATCTCAAAATACATATAAATAATTATAAACGATATTCAATATAATCAAACCAAATCAAATCCAAAAGTATTTATTCTCTAAAAAATCCATAAATAATTTAATAACTCAATTCAACTCAAATTCAATCCAAATATAATCAAATCGAATAATCCAACAATTCTAACAAATCCAATAACTTAATTCCACCACAAATCCAATCAAATAATATTCGCCTCAAGTCCAAATCAAGTCAATCAAATAATCTCAATCACCTCAAACCAATCAAATTCCGGTCAAACCAAGTCCAGTGGATATCCAAATCAATCAAAGTCTAATGGAAGTCGAACTCCTACCTTAAATGTGCACACCCCCTAAAAGGGATTCCAAGCCCTCCGGGTAGTAAGAAGCCCGAGTAGTAGGGATTTTTCTACCAACTACACTACAATTAAGGTGGGATACTCCGCTTTTGAGAAGTACCCCTGGTGTATTTAGACTTATAACCATTACCACTCACCAAATATTCCACATTTATCCGGATGTGGCAAACCGACACTACGGATTTCTCCGGGTGCTCACAAAATCATAATTCAATCTCAATCAAAATGGATATGAAATTCAAACTCCACAAAATCATCCACAATGTAAAATATAAATTCCAACAAACTACACTCGAATTCACTATATATCAAAATTTCACAAAAGAGCCAAATACTTCATAAATATAATCCCAATAACAATTCATAAGATATCTCAAATACTCAAAAGTATCATCCAATATCCAATACTCAAATCTCAAATATAATTCTCGATAACAATCCATAAGAAATTCCAAATACTCAAATGTAAATACTAGAAATCTCATAAAGTACTCAAATAATTTCAAAAATGATTTACGAGGAAAAAGTATAATTTTTGTTGATGTGAAACTTACCTCAAATTGCGATAATTCATAACCAAAGCTTCTATCTCGATCTTCCAGAAATCACCTTCTAAGAATATTAAAATTCTAATATCAATATCAACTTATTCATCTATCTTTTATTATTTATAAATTCTCTCTTATGATTTAATTTCTTTAATAATTTAATCTCTATAAGAGTCCATCTTATTAGTTTAGTTTAATTTTTATTAATTTATAATACCAAATAATATATGTTCAATTAAGCCAACCAAGTCCATTAAATTAGCTGGATCAGTTATGGTATTCGGCCATCCCATTTAATAAAAAAATAACAGGCTCAAAGTTTACTATGTTAAATAGAAGAATTAGCCCAGTTCAATAACCTCATGCGAAGTACGGAGTAAATGATTTACGTACTCACAGGGAAGTCGTCTTCTCCAGACTGTACCGTCGACGCATGGATGTCCGTGTTCGCAACAGCTACTGCCCTCGTCGATCGTCAACGATGTGTATCCAGGCGCAGATGTCCGGTGACAGTCCTGGGATATTTTCCCGACGGATTCTTTCTCTCCGGCGTGAAGCAGTCCGGCAGGTCTGGTTACAGCACTTCGGCACACTCCTTCTCTACGTCTCCGTCGTTCATTCATTTGTCATAGCCTTCCTGACATCAACAGAAGGTAGGCATGTGGTGACTCATCCAGCGATCTCCCATGACCCCCTTCTCCGGCGATGTTATTTTCTTCTTCCGGCGGCGAGGTTGTTTTGCTCCGGCAACACTTGCTACTCTTCTTCTCCGGCGCAAATATAAGTCGTTCGGCTGTGACCGGCGGTTGTTCGTCTTCCTCCTTTTCTGGCGACACAGTCCGGCGGTCTGCATAATACTCTGGCGGCCTTCGTTTGCAGCTGTCTCCTTCGTATATATGTATGGTGTAGAGACGTTTGTTTGTTTTTGGTGCACTTGATCGCTGCTATTTATAGATGTTATCGAAGGTTCTAGGTTCAGGCGTTACAGTCTTTCTCATTTATTATCAGCGTACCATACAAAGTACGAAGTATGTATTACCATACGGAGTACATCGATGTAAAGTTTTCGTGCAGTGGGAACACTGGGTTACATAATGTGTATTACTATTTGCACGTACTACTCCGTATTTTTTTTATAACTGCTACAGTATGATCGAGTACGTTCATTATAATTATAATCGTATATGGTTTGTTATTACGGAGTATACGATATTGGATTGAAAAGTCAACTTTTCAATGTTATCACATGGTTGGTAAGTCTTAAAAATGTAAAACGTTACTTTTGTTTTTAAGTTTAATTTTTATCAAGAGAAATTTATCACGTATCACTAAAACATCACATAGTTCCCATGATTACTTGAGTATTCTTCCTAATACATGACTCCACATGCTCATCTTCCATGCACGTGTGGTTTAATTTTTTTAATACCAATTGCATCCTTTCCTTTAATTAATGCTTTGATTTTTCATCCTAAAATAATTAATCAACAAGCATATCACGTATTGGAATGGGAGCATAACCTGCGGCGGTATGATAACTACCTTTGCGCATAACTGCTCGATTAGAAATGGAAATATCCGATACATAATGGAATTATTTATTGAACGTAAATGTAGGTTCATCTTCTACCAACTGTGTGGTTATCACATGACTTTTTTATTCATATCCAAATCTCCTGATTTCTTCTTCTATGAACTGTTCGTTCATCTGCTAAGGCTCATATGTATCATTTCACCGCCAATCTTGGAGTGAAGCAGTATCCATGCATTCCGTTCCAGTAGGTTACCTGGAAATGTGGATTATGATAAAATATGATGGCCAATGAGTTTCAAATACTTTTTCTCTAGTATTCATGTTGCCGGCTTAACTATACCATCAAATTGTACGTATGATTCTCTATATTCTCGTGTTTGCGCTACTATGGGTGAGAATTATGCCGGGAAGAATATAAAGATCTCATACGTTTATGTTGCGTGCCCACCTGCCTGCCGGTGCTGCCATTCAGTCGGAAGGCCGCCCACCTACCCGCCGCCGAAGTCTAGCCGCACGCTTGCCTGCCGCCGGCCAGCCGCATGTTTGCTCGCTGCCCGCTTCCATCCTCCCGATGCCCACCTCCAGCGCCCAACCGCCCAACCGCCCAACACACATTCTCCTTCTTCTTCTTTTTCTATCTATTTCTTGAAATTAGGGTTTACGGGCATTGAACAAGGGCAGTGAAAATGAGTAGTGAACATGGCAAAAGATAGTGTTGAACATGGATAGTAAATATGACAATAGATAGTGTTGTACATGGGCAATGAATGAATGAATTGAGGAAGAGTGTTGTACACTGAATTGAAGGCAATAATAGTGTCACAACATTGGCGAGAAGTGCAGTAATTATGACCAATAGTGCAATAACGTAGAGCAATAATGCCAACATGAAATGCAAAGTTATCAAATATAAAAAGAAATAAAAGAAGAATTATAAATAAATTCTTAACGTGGACATTAAGAGAATTAATGTTGGCTGGAAGTGTAGTGATTATGAAAGGAAGTGCAGTAATATCGCGCAATAACACCTGTATAAAGTGCAATATAGTAAAGACATTATTAAATAATCACTTCCCTCAATGCATGATATGGAGAACAAAAAAATATGGTTGGAGAAGATGAAAATGGTGAAAATCAGGTTAGAGACCTGACTTATCAAATGAAACATGTTTGTAGTAAAAATAGTATTCCATATATAGTTACGTATTTTAGTGGAACATGCTTTTAATCAATTTTTCATATTTCATAGTTTTTTGGTAATTTAGGTCTAATTTGTTTGAAATCCTTCCTTAATTGAATTTCTTAGAAAACGTGTTCTGACTTTCTATCCAACTGCTTAAATTAAGGAAACTTCAAATGGATAGTTTTCTAGGCCAAAGTGGACTGCTAAAGTGCTAATGCCGTTATATTTTAAGGCCATATTGGTCTTTTAATGGTCAAATATTTTACATGGTCGTTCTTTAAATGACATGCTTAGTCATACATGGGGAAATAAACATTAGAGGTCATATTTTGGGAAATCTCTTGACATATTGTCATACATACGTATTTTTCCTCCCTTTTATTAATTCAATGTTTTATAGAAATGTCATTTTTATTATTCAAGTAAAAAAAATTATCTGATTAATATATTTATATATTTTAAAAAAATTGAAATGTCACAACAAGTAACCGCGGTAACCAGCTGGCTTGACAATCCCGATCTGCCACCACCAATAACAGAATATTGTTTCAGTGTCGACACCAATGGGCTCATCAATTCCTTGGACAAGCGGGGGAAAGGGTACGCTGGCCCAGGAAATCTGACAAGTCAGACGGACGATGGGATCCCAGCAAGAGATGTGATTTCCATGACGACATCGGGCATAACACCGAAGACTGTGTCGCTTTAAGGAAGGAAGTCGCCTATCTCGTACGAAACGGATACCTCATGGAGATAATGTCCGAGCAGACTAAGTCCCTCCTACACCGAGACCCAAAGTTGTCAGCATCTGGACAACGACCATTGTCCCCTTCTGCCCCTCACAAGGTAATAAACTTTATTAATGGTGGTTCTGAATTATTGGGACTAACATATTCTGCAGCCAAGAGACACGCTCGGGAATACTCCCGAGACAAGTCGTCACAGGTCTGTCGAATAACAAAGTGTGAGGAGGACTGGAAGAATGTATCAATCACCTTTGATGAATCTGATAAAATGGACCCCGCTGATGTCCACCATGATGCTCCGGTTATCTCACTTCGAGTGGCAAATTGTGAAGTACGCCGAGTCATTGTCGACAACGGGAGTACTGCCAACATCACCACGATGAAGATGTTGGGGGCAAATGGGCCACAAAGAGGAGGATGTAACAAGTTCTGGATCGACCCTGATCGGCTTCAATGGGGAGCCAAGCCGTACTTTAGGTAACATATCCTTACCCGTATATACAAATGGTCTTAATTTGCAGGTCAAGTTTGATGTAGTCCAAGAGCTGCCCGCCTACAACATGATCCTGGGAACCCCGTGGCTGCATCAAATGGGGGCAATTTCGTCCACCTATCACCAAGTTGTCAAATTTCCAACACCATGGGGAGTACAGTCAATTCAAAGAGACAGAACAACTGCTAAGTTATGTTACCAAACAGCAATGAAGTCCACTGCAACACCAACCGCCTCAGCATAGCAATTAAAGGGCGACACCATTCCAGATGAGGAAGAGGACGATAGAACAGAGGATGTCGTCATTGATCCTGATCATCCGGAATGGGTCGTCCGCATTGGGAGAAACGTGCCAGATCACCTTAAAGGAGAGCTCATTGACTTCCTTAAGGAGCATAAAGATGTCTTTGCATGGAGCCACGACGATATCACGGGAGTTGATATGATCCAAAAATCATCACTCACAGGCTGAACGTCAACAGATCACACAAACCTGTCAGACAAAGAAGAAGAAGACTCACCAAGGAAAGGAATGAAATCATCAACCAAGAAATCGAGATACTGCTACGCACCGGAAAAGCTAGAGAGGTCAAATACCCTGAATGGCTAGCCAATGTCATCGTCGTACAAAAAAGGAAAGGAAAAAAGAAGGGCAAGAAAGCAAAGTCGCGGGTGTGCGTCGACTTTACAGATTTGAACGAAGCGTGCTCGAAGGACTCTTTTCCCATGCCACACATTTATGTGTTAGCAGATGCGACAGCAGGACATGAAATGTTGTCATTCATGGACGCCTTCAGCGGATATCATCAAATTCAGTTGCATCCAGATGACCAGGAGAAAACCGCCTTCATCACTTAAACAGGTACGTATTGTTATGCCATTCGGTTTGAAAAATGCAGGTGCCACTTTCCAAAGGCTCATGACGATAATGGTCAAAGACCAACTCGGAAAAACCATGGAGGTCTACATCGACGACATGATGGTGAAATCGAAGAAAGCAGAGGATCATGTCGGCCACCTCAAAGAATCCTTCAAAAAGTTGAGGGAATACGATCTCAAGCTCAATCCAGCCAAGTGCACATTCGGGGTGACATCAGGAGAATTTTTGGGCTATATCGTCAGTGAACGAGGAATGGAAGCGAGTCCGCAGCAAGTGAAAGCCATCCTTCACATCGAATCACCAAAATCCGTCAAAGATGTCCAGAGGCTCACCGGACGAGTTGCAGCGCTTAACAGGTTCATATCAAAGTCGTCGGATAAATTGTTGGAAAAATGTGTTAAAAATTGCATTAAATGGTCATTTTGGGGCAATTATTTGAGTGGGGTCCACTTCCGATTTGGGTCGGGTCAAAGTGGTTTCGGATTGTCCTTGTTAAGGGCTACAATTCGATATATGGTACGCTCAAAACGGATAACGGGTGAATGAGAAATTGATTCTCGAAGTTCGCTCGTAGTAATGGAAAAACTGGGAAAATGATGAGTTTCTAGTGTGTTTTATCCCACACCGAAAAACTCAAGGGATTTTCACCCCCTTTTAAAGGGAAGCCTCTTTTAAGGAGTTAAGATTCCTAAAGGGAAAGGCTCTCTCTTACGCGCAGAGGGGTGCCGATCAAATCCCGAAACGGAGAAGAAAAACCGCGACTCGTGTGCGCGGGCGACCTGCGGACACGAATGCCGTCCAAAAATCTATTTCTCAAGAGATACGGTTAATTTTTGTTTTCTTCCCGAACGTTTTTTTCCCAGAAGAGCTCCGGACAGAAGGCCTCGAACAGAAACCCTCCAAGGGAGTTCTGTTGGCTTCGGACAGAAGGCCTCGAACAGAAACCCTCCCAGGGGGTTCTGTTGGCTTCGAACAGAAACCCTCCAAGGGGAGTTCTGTTGGCTACGGACAGAACCCCTCTGAGGGGTGTTCTGTTGGGATCTTTTGTCACGCATTTCTTCCGTTACAACTATTAATGCCCAACGTTCTTCTCTTTTAATGCTGCGTTAAATGGACAGTTTATGGACGATTCAATGCCCAACGG